TGGAAGCTGAGGTCAGAAGGCAGCTGCAGGAGTTGCTGAATGCAGGCGTAATAGAGGAGGCTCACAGCCCATATAACTTTCCAATCGTTTTGGTGAAGAAAGCCAACGGGAAGTGCCGCTTTTGCGTGGACTTCAGAAGGCTGAAGGAAATATCGCAGAGTCGATTCGTCCCGGTGCCTTCAGTCGCGGAAATTTTTGATAAACTGCAGAAGTCAAGGATATTTACGGTACTGGATCTGAAGTCTGGCTACTGGCAGCTGGCGATCAAACAAGAGGACCGAGAGAAGACGGCGTTTACAGACGGTGACAAACAGTACCAGTTTAAAAGGATGCCGTTTAGATTACCTGGTGCCCCTTTAACCTTCCGGCGTTTGGTGTTGCGACTACTGGATGGATTAGAGAAGGTGACCGTATACGGCGACGACATCGTTGTGTATAGTGAATCGGAGACAGAACACTACCGTCATCTAGAAGCAACGCTGCGAAAAATTCGGCAGTCTGGGTTACAAATAAATGGGCAGAAAGCTCAAATCGAGAAGAAGTCTGTGACACTGCTTGGTCACAAGGTGGATCAGGGTGAACTCAAGCCGCTGCCGGAGAAAGTATTGGCAATTCGAGGCACCCCAGTTCCGACCTCAAAGCGCAGTCTCCGGGCATTTCTGGGCCACACTGGATATTACAGTAAATTTGTCAGACATTTTAACAGCTTGGCGTCCCCTTTGTATGAGCTGTTAGGCGAAGGAAAGAAGTTCACTTGGACACCAGAGGCTCAGCGAGTGTTAGATGACATTCAGAAGGAGGTGGGCGGACAGGAACTAACTTTAAAATTGCCGATCTCCGGGGAAACGTTCACTGTGGCTACAGACGCAAGCGACGTCGGAATCGGTGCGGTGCTAAAACGGAAGCAAGGCACAGTGGAACACGCTAGTAGAATTTTGACTCCATCAGAACGCAAGTATTCGACAGTGCAGAAGGAGTGTCTGGACTCTAGACAAGTGGCGACCGTATTTGTTGGGTCAACGGTTTCACATCGAAACAGATCACAAACCATTGGAATGGATTAGGTCCTCCAGAGACCCCAGAGGCAAGTTAGCGCAATGGGCGCTGTGTCTACAAGAAGACGACTTTGCGATAAACAACATACCGAGGAAAAACAACGAAACGGCAGATTTTCTATCACACATGACGAACGAGGAGGATTTGCCGAGTGTTGCCTTCGGTGTCGGTGGTCTAGTGCTCGAGCATGACCCGAGTAAGTTAGCGGCTGAACAATGGAAGGACAGACTTTTGAACGGAGTGATAACAACACGAATAACAAGCCAAACTGCTGCAAACAAAAACCAGAGCCAGCAATTCGGGCCATTCGCACGGAGTCTGGAAAAGCTGCATGTCAACGAAGCCGGAATTCTGATGTGGACACAAGGACGCGATGCTACACCAGTGCCGGTGTTCCGCTCAAATTAAGGAAGAAGTTGGTTATTCCGTGTCACGAGATGGCTCACACCGAATGCACCATGACATATGATTTGCTTAGACAGCGAGCTCACTGGCCGAACATGAAGAAAGACGTCGATGCGTACGTGCTCTCGTGTTAGTAGTGTCAGCTTCTGAAAGAAGACAATCAAGGGGCACCACAACCTATGTTGTCAATTCCAGTGTCCGAAATCGGTGAGCTGTGGTCTGTCGACGTGATGGAGCCGGGCCTGTTAACCAGACCAGGCAATCAGTACATAGTCGTGATGACGGAGCACTTTGTCCGATGGATTGAGGCGGCGGCGATTCCTGATCAACGCGTTGGCACTATAACACATGCCATGATGAAACGTGATAGCGAGTCACGGGATGCCGAAAGCCATACTGACAGATCAGGGCCCATGCTTTGAAAGTGACGAATTTCGGACATGTTTGGAGAAACTGGGCATCAAGAATACACGGACCACTCACTACCATCCTCAGACAAACGGATTAACGGAGAGGAATAATAGAACGATTAAAGAATGGTTGGTGACGAAAGGGGGAGATTGGGAAGAAACCTTACCACTACTACTGTTAGCGCACCGAGCATCCAAGCAAGCAAGCACCAAGAGATCTCGATTCCAGTTAGTGTACGGTCGCAGACCACGACTTCCGGTAGATCTGGAGACAGGAGTTTGGCCGACTTGCCAGGTACCGCCAAGGGAAGCACGGAACGACAGAAAGTTAGCCAACCGAAATCTGAACACAACTCAGAAACCGAGGATGGAAAGCTCCCGAGTCAACGTGATAAAACCGTCCATGGATTTCCCAATCGGTTCGAAGGCGAAATGCAGAGACCGGACGACGTCCGGTTAATTTTCCATTACACCTCCGTCTGACGGCGTCTCATGATTTACCTGTTTCCCTTGTGCGCCCTCGTGGATATCCATATAACTCATAAGTAGTGTACCACAGGAGGGGCACGAGGCAATCTAAACAGATGCTCAGTGAATGAAAGGTTGCAACGGCACATCGCTCCGGAAAGGTGCCGCAAATGTCATGCGCAAATTGGACTCGCGTTCCTATGTTCGAGTTATTATGTTAACCAGACATGCGTTCTTCAATAAATAACTTGTCCGCCCCTCGTTGCCTTCACAACATAGCAACAAAGTACTAGTGGATCATGTTTACGAGTAAGGCATCCAAGATCTATAACAGTGCATAATGACGATATTCATCAAGCCAATGTTGAATATCTATCCCTTGGTGGACGTTCACGTAAAAATCCTCCGCTAACTGTCTAAAGTAGCATTGTTGGAAGGGGCCGTGGAATGCCTCAACGTAAGATGATTTCCCCACGGGTGCCAGAGCTCGAAGAAGGTGCAACGCATGTCCATGCACAGTAGGTAGACAAACACGGGTTCGTCACCTTTTCCTCTACATCCCACTCGTCTTGACCACTCCATATTCCTTCACTTGACCTCACTTTCTCCTGAAGCTCATGCGACATTCGTGAACGAGCGTCTGTGCTAACATTTCCAAACTTAATCGTAACTCTGCATTAACCCCTGCATTTTTGTGTCCTGATCCCTCCAAATTAACGGTGGTAACCTAATATCTTATGACTTCGGCAAACACCGCTACTTATGGTGGGACTTGTAAGGCCAAAAACATGACGCATAATGCACAGAAAGAAATCCCAATAGTATAGAAGTCTTAACATATATCAGCGACTATAACAGTAGAACAGCTCTCCAGCAGAGTTCGGAGTCGGCGCATATTGAATATCTGTCTTAAAGAGACCGGTGATCTACTATATCCTAGGTACCTGCAGAAAGGTTGCACTAGTTCGAACCTCATGAATTTGTAAACATAGCCAAACTTGTTACCCGGTCAATATTTGTTGTAAAACCTCTTAACCGAGTTCATCGCTACGTTTCCTGACTACCTATTAAGTTGCAATTGATTACTTTTCTATATTCTCTACACCATTAACCCTCCCCTGCCACTTTCAAAATACTGAGAGAGTTCATTAGCTAGGAGGGAATACCGACGATTGTGATCACGCTAGCCATCTCCTTAAGCGATTCAGTGCGGGGAGGCCGATTAATCGAAAAACGTTCCGTTGTGGCAGAAGTCTCAAACCTCACTCCGAAACCAATTATTTTGTGGTTAAATATTGGGTAGCTCTTATGTACTGTCAACTAGGCAGGTAGATATAAACTATGCAGTTCCTACCTTTAAAATGGATGTAAACACTTCATTACGCTGTTAATGATCAATCTCCTCACGTATCTGGCTGTATCTCGAGCTGTTGTGAAATAAACTGCATCCACGCATCGCTAGATGAAATCGATGGGGGATATAGAGCCTCTCTACTGTGTGGCGAGACAGTTCTCATTCATTACGCACATTTACCCCCAAGCATCGTGCTACGTTGGATTACTGTTTTTTTTAGATTTATGTTCCAGTAAACCAACTACTCATCATGAACCCCCTCAAAGAAAAACATAATCCAATTCCAGCTACTCAAAGCAAAGGTGCTTGAATTCAAGTAGAAGGCGCCGCGTCGACGTTACAAACGTCCGCATTCATACACCCGACTTTCATCATGAAAATTACCAGACAAAGCTGAAACGTCCATGCTGCATTATCCTTAGGTAAAAAGTTTCTTGTGGCGAAAGAGGCGTGTGAGAGCAGGTCACTGATCAAATACTATTCGCCACAGAATCATCCAAAGAGACCGTTTGGTTGTAGATCGAATCATAATAGTCGGTCAACTTCGTGGTCAGCTGTGAAACGCATTGTTGTGTATACTAAAAAAGACGCCAGATACACCGCAAGGCAATACCAGATATCGCAACTGGCTGGTGCATGATATCGAGGCCACAAGAAGCGGAGCAATGCAGGGAAGGGTAAGAGTATTCAATGCGGTTTCCTGTTTGTGAATCACATCTAAGACAACCACGAGACAAAAAAGCTGCGGAATTCTATCCGCTCACGGGTGGGGTTTGAGTAGAAAATTAAGGATTTTATGATCAAATGACGGTAGCAGTGAGTTACCACAGACTTTGTAGAACAAAGATAAAAAAAGGGCATTGTTCGATCTATACGGTAATTCGTGATGCGGTATAATTAGCCGTGAAACAAGCGGATGCTGTGCCCGAGGTATTTAGGTGTCAATAAGTTAGTGATGAGGGATGTGATTCATCGACGATAAATACAAATTAAAAGTCAGCTGTCAGATGTTTGCCAAGTGAGAATCATTATTACTTAAATCCGCAAGCGTAGAAGGCACCTCCCAACAATCAATGGACACCTCCGCGAGGAACAAAGGCTCATATGAGGAGCCTCAAACACAAACGGAGTTACCACAATCAGCAAGAAGAGATTGGCCAGCACCAGTGGTCAGCTAAACGAGTACTACAAATAAGGAGAACGAGGGACCGGTTTGTTTCCAAATTGCAGGGGCTTGCAGAAAAGGGAGGCCAATTAAAGAACAAAGGAATTGACAGCGTGAAGTCAGCACAGTTAACAATACTCACCCATATACCAGATGTTCGGTGCGACCCAACCACCAAAAGGTAACTCCTGTAAATACGCCGACGCCTCATGATTTCCACCGATAAACAATGTGAGTATCGGTGCGTGACGCTCCTCTGCGTAGTACCTGTATCAAGGCAGCCGGAGATTCATGTTTCCCGATGGAAAATCGAAGCGTTCAATGACGGTAAAATTTCTGTGGTGTTGCGGTAACATAGTGTGGTGGGTAACTGAAATCTGCTTTGTGACCGGCACAATTCGACGAGTGATCACGCTAAGTAACGAATAATACGAGGCAATCAGAGGATGGTCCGTGTTCAAGATGCGGTAACAAAAATCGAAACAGTTGGATGGCTTTTACGGGAAGTGAAGTCGGTCGATCGTTTCTGTGTCCATCAAGTCTTCGCTAGGCATATATATATATATATATATATATATATATATATATATACACACTTGCCGAATAAACACTTAGCATAGTGCCACAACACATAAGTAACACAGCACTAGGTAAAACGCATACTCTGTGATCCACAATGCAGCAAATTATACAAGAGATGCATTAAATCACGCATACAAAACCAACAAAACGTTATCAGCCGGACAGTCGACAAATAACCGGGGTACGTAGTGAACTGCCGTTCGGGTTTCTCAGGTCTCTCGTCAAGGAATGACGCAACCGCAACACAGTGGGAAGTCCAAATCATGATAGGTTAGCGACATAATAAGCTGAGAAAATACGAATACCACCAAATAATACAAATGAATAAATAGCTATGACCTTGCATCATAAGAAACTAGTGTCCACTCGAGTGCATTCATGACCGGGGTCGATTGGTATGACGCATCTACTTTGCAATCCACATGTTGTCGAATCAAATATGCGAAAGTGCAGGCGGTGTGCCCGCAACAAATGGCGATCGAATGGCCGCCACAACGTAACGGCGTACTACTGATCCCTCTTACGTGGAAATAATCGATAGTCAAAGGAGGAAGCTAAACGCAGAAAACCTGCCCATTGTAGCAGATTTAAATCTACAACAATCACAAATATGGTGCCTCCCAAGATGTAGCACTGTGTCAACAGAAAGGAACAATCCAGTCACCATCATTACACGTTATCTATAGATGAGAAAGACCTCAGTTATTATGCCGCAACACAAAAAGATTAGATGGAAAAGTAAGATACCGATCAGCAGAGAAGACAAAATAAAAGCCAAAAACAAGTAATATAATAGTATGCAACAGGAATGTGATCGTGATTAGAGGGAAGCTAAAGGGGAGAGGGACAAAGAAACAACAGGAATGCCAATGAAGTTGACTCTTCTTCACGTCAACAAGTGTACCCAACCAGACGTACTTACCGTCCTTCGAACTCCGGTCAGGAGGCCTAACCGATAGCAGGTCATCGCTTGGCCTCCCATCGTCGCGCGAGTCGGGGTGCTGATATGCGCCACATGTGACCCAGCCATCGGAGCTTGATGCGCGATATAACCGTTTTGAGCGGCTCAATCGCCGTCCCACCACCACCAAGTAGGCAGCGCCGAACAAGCTCATCGCTCACGCAGTGTTCCCACCAGATATAAGCAAAAGTGCGAAGTAAACGAAGGTCGAAAGTAGGACCAGATTTCACAATCGTAAAGGAGGGCCAGGTCTCGCACTGTAAACTCTGCCCTTCAGGGCAAGAGTGACGTCGCTCTGACACGGCTAACAGCGCACGACGTGGAATACGATGAACGGGTATGCGCAATGCGTGCCCAAACCCTCGTAGTTGATGCAGTGAGGTAGGCGACTCGAGCGAGGGGTTGCCTCCACCCAAGACACTTTGATTACGTGATGTAGCCACTACTCACAGGCAACAGACCGCAAGCAATGGTGCTCAAAGACAGACAGTCGACGCAGGTCATCGGTATGGACAGGTCAAGTCTCGCAACCGCACGACGGTACAGCGCGGACAGTTGCGCCACAAACACGTCACATAATGGACAGACAGATAACATGGCGGCGCTACAAATGCCTCATTTTAGAGAAAGTGAGAAAAGCTCTTGGGATGTGCATCGAAATCTCACCCCAATAACCACATCAGCAGCGATGCAGCTTCCCGCGTAGATGGAGGAGGGAAAAGAATTGGGGGTTGAAGACAGGGAAAAGTGAAGTTGAGGCGGGAAGATAAGGATGAGTAGCGCGGAAGGAGTAACAAGAAAACGGGAAGGCTTGAGTAGTAGCACTCTCATCCCTGTGTTGAAAAACAGGACTACGTTGGGTTGCCAATATGGAGGTGTTCCAACAATTGACGTAAAGTCGTGATCGATGCATCCTGAATTTCGATGAAACCAGTCTTGCTCCACGCGAATCTGACATTCATCAGTGCCAGTTACTCTGTGAAGAACGATAGACGCAAGCAATTTAGAGACACTGGAGATCAGACTGATCCGTCTATGATTGGCGCATTCCGAACGGAAGCCTCCCTCGAAAATTGGGACTATGACGGAGCGGTTTCAATCTGTTGGGACAGCTTCCTACTCCGACACTTGCACTAGTAACTCTTGTAAATCATCTACAAGGACATATCCGCCGAATTTGAAGAGGGCCGGAGGAATTATGTCTGCCCCTGTGACCTTATGCAATTCCAACAATCTGATTTCACGTTCGATTTCTGTGCATGAAGCAGATACAAGGATTCGGGCGAACAACGGCCGGTGGAGAAGCCGACAACTCTGACTGACTGAACTGCTTGTCAACGTGTTCGACCCAACGATCCAAGCATTTTGACAAGCTGTGAGTCGGCTGTCCCCTCTCGTCGCGTATGGTCTCGCTAACACCAGGTCTCCTGCAGCTTGTTTCCCGTATCAGAAAGAATAACTTATGATGGTTACCAACGGCAGCGGCTGTTTCCATTTCCGAGACATAATGAGACCACCAGGATTTGCACGGTTTTGTCCTGAGATTTTTGCATATCTCATTATGCTCGCATCTAGCCGAAATACGCCAGCGAGCATCCAGACGTTTCAGAGACCGTGTAAAGACCCAATGTCCAGATTGGCAATATGAAGATGAAGATATGCTTGCTGATAGTAACGTCCGGCGAATATGCGACTAGTGACCTTCAACGGGGTTCAGTGGGTGCTTATTCAGCCCGGATGGCAGTGTAGTTTGATACGCATTCAGAACACTTGACTACGCCAGTTGGATGGTGTTTATGCGCGCGCGGTGACGTCGCGGACGTCCGCCGCAACGCACCCGAAGCTCGGCACACACGAGAGCGTGGTCGGTGTCTATGCTCGTGCCCTAAATTTAGCGAGTTTTGGACGCAAGCGCTCCAGCGGTAACTGATCGCGATGTGATCGATTTGCGTCCATGGCTGATGGGCGCCAAGTCACTCCTCTGCGAGTGTTGTGTCGAAAATCAGTGCTCGCGAGAAAGAGATGAGCATCTTCACACAGGTGTAGCAACCGCTCACGGTTATCATTACGGGATCACACACGAAGTTGGCCGCCCAGATGAATCCTATCAAAGGACAATTTCCCAACTTGGGCGTTCAGACAACGAGCAAGCCCCACGTATCCGTACTATTCAGCAACACAGGAGCGCGTTCAGTTGGTGACAGAATTCATATTTCACCGAATCAGTTCTACAGTTTGTGAGCGCGTAGGCCGCAATAACGGAAAGGCACCGTCTGTTCCCGCGCGACTTCGAAGCCTGGGATGAGCCAGCCAATCAAACGGCGAAAAATCCGGCTTTTGATTGGAATCCAATCGATCAGAGCAGCCTCAGTCCGGGGACTCAAAACAATGCTCACGTGGGTTTGACGGGTACTAAAAGCTGCATTGTCTCCTGACAGACGTAATGAGAATGTGCTGCCAATGTCGCATGTGAGAGATCCCAGGGTAGGCACGGAGCTCGGATATTGCAGGCGGGTTTCCGATAAGTAGTAAAGATCGATCGATAGGGTCTCGAGTATTCGGCAAGTGCCGCCTGTTGGCCAGTCTGTAACAAAGTGCGCACATTGTGGCATGTCAGCCTTAGAGGGGATCGAGGACTCCAAAGAAAAACGGATGAACTCACGTTGTCCGCTTGGTTGCACATGGACTTGTCGACTGGATTGGAACGGCACCCTGGGAGTACGTGTAAGCAGAAGCTAGAAGATAAGCGAGTATTGAAGCAAGTCGGGGGGAAGAAAATTGGGGGGTTGAAAACAGGAGAGGAAAAACGGGACGAGAGGAAAACGGGACGATAAGGACGAAAAAGCGCGAGAAGGGAATAAGAGGACGGGAAGACTTGAGCAGTAGCATCCAAACTTCTATCCACCCTGCTCGATGCAGCAGATAGAGCGCCGTTTAGTATCCACGACGGTCAAATCATCAAGGAATTGTTTAAAGGGAAATTCATAAAGTTGTGTTGCGTGGGCACGATACTCTCAGGTTTTGCAGCCCTAGTCAGGAAAAAAAATTGGTTCAAAAACCTCACCACAAGGCAGCGCAGTTTTGGCAATGGACGACACAGAGTCCGTTTTATGGAGTAAGGAGCCACTGTCACTCCAACCCCCAACCTGGAGGGTCAGAAGACTGAGTTTGTCTGGCCTCTAATTATTGACCAATTTGGCATGAGTGGCTCTGAAGGCACAAAAAGCATAGCTTAATAGATCATTGAGGCACACAAAGCACTGCACCATGTTAAGGTCCAGTGTAATGCTTTACACTCATTTTCCTTGCAGCATACTCCATCCTCTGGCCACTTTTCTGTTATGTAGTGCTATCGAATTGCTCTACTGTCTAATAAGCACAAGAAACAGCAATATTTCGTGAAGCCTTCTTGCATATCCATCAGAAGTCTAATGACTTTGAAGTCAGCAAAGATATTTCAACAGTACTTATCGTAGTTCAGTGCAGCGAGTATCTCTACTGCTTTCGTAAGTCTCCTTCATATTGGTGGCATGCAATTGAGACACAGTTGGGTACATATTTCCACTGTCGAGCAGTATGGCTTTAAGTATACTCTTAGACAAGTCAATGAACAAGCGCCATTCATCACAGATATGCCTTAAGTCAGAACAGTAACCAAAGGTTTATCTAGTGTCATAGAAACCGGACAATTTAACACCGCATTTTGTATAGTCAAAGTGTTTTCAGCAAGTAAGTGCCGCTGCTGCAGATGAGATACCAACTACTCGGCCAGGTCACGTACCATGTCATTCAAGTCTGATAGTTCAATAGGATGTGGGTTGACATCATCAGCTACAAATGTTTCACAGACGTCAGAACCAGGTGAAGTTGGCAATGCCGAATCACTAACCATCATCAGTGACATGTTCACTGGAGGTTAAGGTGCAATCATGAGGAGCAAGTCGAATAGCTGATGGAAGATCGGGGTAAGGAATTTTGTCATTGTTTCCGTTGGAGATTCAAATGACACTGGTTAGGCAGAAGTAGCAGTCTGTCGTGTGATCCATCGGCTTCTTCCATCTCATGGTGATTGCAAAGCGAATCTTGCTTTTGCCCTTGAGCCAATGAGTCAGATGAAGAATGCACGATGCACAAACAATATCTGATGTCCACTTCTTTTCCTGACCAAATTTCATACCGAGATATGCGTGGTAGGTAGAATTCAGCAGTGAAGAAGTGGGTATGCACTGCGACTTTGTAGTAGACTGTTCATCGACGTAATAGAAATGGTTTCCGTCATTGACACAGCGGCGTCCTTCATCCAAGATCAAGATATCAACTAAGGAAACAGGTCTCAATAGACTCTGATATCAGGTGGATACCATGGCTAAAATCATTACTTGTATAGTTACAGGGAGCCAATAGACTAACCACAGGCGAGTATTCAATACATGGAACGCACTGCTTAGCTGAAATGAAAAACTGAAATTAAACAAAAACCCGACGGCGTAGAAACACTTGGCTTGCATATTCGTAAGCAGCTCATTTGGTACTACTAACAACACGGTATCACATTTCCGTTACAAAAATGATGTTGAATAGTCTCATCTTCTGCGACGGCTAGAGCATCAGGGAATCATAGCACTGTGTGGGTAAGATACCGTCAGGTTGTCCAGGCAGAACAATTAGAATTCTCAATCAAGGCCTTTGGTTAAAAAACCTGGCCGTAAGGTACCGGACTTTTAGCACTGGGCTACAGAGAGTCCGTTTTATGGAGTAGTGGTCCAACTTCTCTCCAACCTGGAGGGCCAGGAGACTGAGTTTTGCTGGCCTTGAACCATTAACCAATCAGGTACGATTGACTATGAAGGTGTAAAAAGCACCACTCAGCATAGCTAAATGGATCGTTGGAGTACGCAAGCCATCGCATCACGTTACAGTTCAGTACCGTCGCGATCAGAAAGGCTTCACAAATGTAAAAACAAGAATGAAGCGCTTGTCAAGCCATAGAGTCGCACAGACGGGAAAATCAAGGCCTGCTAAGGTAAAACCCGGCCGCAGGACATAGGAGATTAAGTCCCCAGTCAGAGAAACCCCGATACCTAATTCTGTACGAGGATTTAGTAGCGATATTTCGGGCTCAGTAATATGTCCAGAACTAACAGAAATAGATTGATTTTCTACGAAATCTGCACCTTAAAAGGTAGAAAAGAATGCAGAACAGATGATGATGTTAAGTTTAAATAAGGATGCTGATCATAAGAAAAAGTAAGAAATGAAGTTGCATCCAAGAGATGCTATTCGATATGGAAGAAAAAGTGCAAATATAAAAAATGAATAAAGCTAGTCTAAGGTACATCACACGTACATTCGGAAGTCTGAAACCCTTGTTTGCTAACCACAGAAGACGTTTGGCCGATAGATTCATTAAATCTAAGTGGACAGTGTCATTAAAAAACTACTCTTGGATCAAACGTTTGGTGCACGCAAGTATTACGGAATAAAGCAGAGAAACAGTTGGGGTATAGATACAGTGTTGGCAAAATTATTATAAATTCATTAGAGTGCGTCTATTAGTTTATGCCATTCTTTGCAGTCTGTCATGGCTACAATGCTAGTTTATATTACTATTCACAATGTCATGGTAACCAACGACTAAAGTAGTTGACAATAATGTAAATAATTAGTTGTAATATACATTCCGTTCTGTTTGATAATTAATATGCGGATGACAAATTCGTTGACGTTACATGTACAGTGGCTATGTAAACCAAAGGTAACATTTTTATTATTTTATTTATTTTTTGATTTTTGATTTTTCAAAATGTCTATTCAAGTAACGACACAAGCTTATTGGTCAACAGTTGCTAGATTGCATTAGCATATTATTAGGTAAATTAAGCGACCTAACCCCACAAAAGCGAACAAAAATTGAAATTCTTTTAAATTAAGGTGTATAAGTATCGGTATTTGCTACCAAGATTGGTGTTAGCCCAGCGTCTGTATGCTGATTTCGAAAGGAATTGTAAAAGAATTTACCCCTGTCCCGTAAACGTTCCGAGAAGTGTGGTCTCAGAAGAGCAACAGCTCGAGACAAGTCATTTCTGCCTAGGGAATGTTGAAAGAATGGCAAAACATCTAGCAGAGAGTTGCAAGGGATGTCCGAACAGCATGACGATGATGATGAACTGTAAGAAGACGACTTAAGGATGCTGGACTTCGAGCTTGCAGACTTCTGAGGAAACAAAAGTTGACCAAAGAAATGAAAGAAAAACGACAGAAATAGACAAAACAGCTTGAAAATGGTCAAAAAAAGACTGGGAGCTGGTAAGAAGCAAATGCTTTATTTGTGCAGGGAATTTCAAGAAAGATTGCGCCTACATTGCTTGGATACTTCATACAGTTCCTATGTATTTTATTTTAGTTTGTTTTCAGCAATGAGGTTATCATTCGGTGCTCTGACCAGCAAGCTCAATATGTCCGTCAATTACCTGGAGAACAGATGAGGGAAGGCTGTACCGTTCAACGAGTCAAGCATCACATTCAGGTCATGGTATGGAGCGTTATGAGCATTTACGGAACTGGTCGGCTATACATCGTCAAAAGCAACAGAAACCAGCAACAGTACAAAACACTACTAAAGCACCGTCTGATGCCTCAAGTGAGGGAATAGACAGAGAAAAAAGGATTTACAGGGATAGAAGACTTCATTTTCATGCATGAGAGTCACAAGTGACGTGAAGTAACCCATTTTCTTGATGGCTGTGATATTGTGTTGTGTTGTTGTTGTGTTGTCATGGCTTGGAAATAGTCCTGATGTGAATCCAAAAGAGAACTTAGGAATAATACTAAGCAGAGATGACGAAACAAATTATTACAAATAAGTAACTAAGCTTGTTAACTGCTTGAAATTGTCAAAGGATCATTTACGGAATACTAATCTTGGTGAATTTCTAACCAATAAAGGTTTTTCTTCAAAAGTATGTAACCAATTTGCAGTGAAATCATTTGATTCTTACGAGAACTGTGAAGAAAAATGAAAAAAAGAATTCGCTGAATTCAATAAATATATAATAAATGGCTAACACTGCATATCATCAAAGTCTCGCTAGAAGAGACAGTGCGGCCAGAAACATATTCTTTTCGGATAACTAAGATGATGGCGATTAAGGTGGATACTCACCTCCAGAAATCGCCCATAGCGTAGTACTTAGGGGGGACGCTCATTCCGTTCAGATCGACTGGATTTCTAAGGGACTGGAAATCGCCACAACAAAGCACCAAATCGGTCTTGAATTGGCCCGCTTGTTCCACAGCTGCGATGTCCGCATACACACGGTCTAATTCACCATGAAGACATCCGGTGATGCATATTTTGACCATCGTGATCAACGTGGGATCTAGGCTACAGCGAAGGAAAGAATATCCTGAAAGGTCATAAACTGTCTGGGCTCCAGCACAAAAGATACTCTACCAAATTGAGTGCTTGTAAATAATTGGCACCATTTTCGCGTTGTTCGCAGGGTGCATTCGTGAGCAACACGGTAACTGCAATCAGTGGATGAATGGAAAAGAAAATACCCAGAAGAATACAGTTGAAAAGCAAAATAACAACTGGAAAGTCAAGAGAAACTGATTACTGACACGATGGGGTGTATATGTCACACTATCGGCTATAGATAAACAATCTGGAAAAAACAAAGCCTATAGGCAAGTATACGGTGTACTTGGTAACGTGCAGGGATACTTAGACAACCAGGGGACAATAAAACAGATGGATGCGTTGGGCTCGACGCTGATGGTGTATAGGCGTAACTAGAGTATTCTATATGCATCGCAATGGGTCCATATCAGATTGACAATTATAAAAGGAGGATCCATGCAATTAATGGTGTAAAAAATGTCGCCGAATTAAAAAAGTCGGAGGAGAAAAAGATAGTTTTGTAAATCACGCTCTCTGTTCGTAACAATAAGGGTTCTTTCAAAATAGCGCCAAGTCAGTGAGTGCCAAACATGCAGCAAATACAGCCTATCAGTGATATCATTGGAAGGTTCACTGTTATCGACTTCACCACAGTAACCAATAGAGCAAACATCGGGGCGAATTGGATACGATAGAATACCAAGGACGCAGAAGCGTATAGGAGAAAAGATAGTGCCCGAATAAGTGTCGGAAAGTGGTAAATTTCAGATTAAAACAGGATAATATTAAATAGCACTCTAACCAAAAGAGACATAAAAGCACCAGCCCGTGACTTCCACGGTAAAGGGATGACGCAAATATGATGACAAATTGCGTTTTAACAGTATCCGAAAAGATTAACAAGGATACCAAACCTCCATAGGCCATTAGTGTAGATTTATTGCTAGAACAATCAATAAAGGCTGGAAGAGCATTCTTCATGACAAAGTTAATTGCAACAACAGATCGACAATATGCACGTGTAATGCATGAGGTGAATATGGCCAGTAAAGAGGGAAATCCGCTTTCTTCTCGTTTTCGCAGATAGGACAATATGATCCCCAGTTAGTCAGATTGTCAATTCAAGTGAAAACTTGAGGATAAACGATAGCGCGAGCAAGTTTCTGTGAGGTGATACGATAACTGAAAACAGCATAAACTGAGCAACTGTTAAGTGACAATGATCACGCTTGTAAACATATGGAAGCACAAATGATGAAATTCAAGGGTTTAGACACCATGCAAGAAAGCATAACCAAATCAAACATAGGTCCCAGCAACCATAGATAATCAGCGCTAGGTGATAAGAACCCATAATTGATGAAGCAGACTGGCATACGATGGCCTCAACGATAAAGATGACAAAAATGCGACTCTGCATTGAACTATCAGTAGAATACGCAGTCAAATGGATGGTTGTGCTTATGTGTATAGTAATACGCCAAGAGAGAAAACGTTAAACATTTGCGTCTTCCCGATTGTTTAAACAAGAGCTTACTGACTGGATATAATCCCTTTACTTCGCAAACATCCCTCCCTCACAACTGCTCCTTTGAAACGAGACCAAGACAGGGAACTAGCAACCGTTTTCATTAATTGGATTCCAAATAATTCCAGCTGATGATAAGTAGTCGTTAGTCAGTAAGACCACGAACGGATCTGCGACCTACAGAGTGAAATCACAAATTTGGTCCAAACCACTACTGCTTACGATGGAGTGCAGCAGTTCGCACCTATGTTGAAAATCAATCACAATATCGATGGTCAGCTGCGAAGCATTCGTCCAACAGTGAGAAATAAAAGTGTATAGAAGGAGGAATACGATTCTGTAATATAGATGAAATCAGTGGCCCTATGTACCAACCGAAGATACTAACCGGCAAACCGAAGGCAGATATAGCATTCAACAATTAGTCACGGAATGTAATAATCGCACTAAAAGATGGTAAAGTATAAACGGTTACAGAAGTATCACGAGGACAAACGAAGTGCCTGGAGCTATGCTGATTATCTACTTTACCTGTTGGGATGTCGACAACCTGAAGTGGGTAAACGGAGTTAGCTACAGATTGATGCCAACTGTCAAAAGAGAATAAGGAAACAGAAGTAGATTTCAGAGGAAACCGATGGCCACTATTTATTATGGGCCAGAAACATCGAAGACTGGATCTGAGTTAACAGTGGCAACCAGCCTGCGCGCTATATACAAAGCAAGAATTAAATGAATTGCTGAGGTCAGGCGTCTCGCCCAAAGTTTCAAGCACAGTTGACTAGGAGAAAGAGGATGTTTCAAACAGGTGGCTACTAACACTCAAAAGTATGCTGCCTATGGAACACGTATGAGATACATGTGACAACCGGAGACAATCTGATGTGCAGCATGAGTAAAATAATCATAAATAAAATAATAATCCCAAGGTACCCACAAATGAACAACAAGAAAGCATTAAGTAAAGACAAATTTTGGATTTAGGTTCACTAGTAGGACACTAGACCGGAAGCTACTGTACGCAACCAGTTATCACAGAGTTGCCTCAACACCGTGAGTACCATACAAATAGTTCAACCAAACAGAGAGAAATGAGAAGCCTAACTGACCAACACGTTTAGTGATATGTACTCGTGTGGAGTACAAATGTCGAGATCAGTAGCAGCGATCCAACGCAATAGGGTTTACTAGATGCAGATAGTGATCCCCCGGAATTAGAAAGTCTAACGAGAATGTAGTCTGAGCCAAACGGTTGCTAGATAAACCAATTGCAAGAAATACTCTTAACGGGACCTCTAGTGTGCTCGGCAGCGTAAGCCAAAACGTTTGCACATAATTGCCGTTACCTTAGTTATTTCTCAAAATGCGACAGGCAAACGAAAGTTGCGATGACGACAACCTAGATCGCGATCCAGCCGCCAGAGCGGAAAGAGAGAAACCCAAAAACATCCGTAACATTCACCTGTCCACTAAGTCACGGCTGAATGTATTAGGGAAATGAAGCAAACGAGTCTGTGATGGATCGCCGCCTTTTAGGAATAGAACACAATCAGAGACAGCGCAGCCCTACGTAGGGCCACTGATTTGTATCAGTTAGCATCTACTATATGGTTGATAGGCTTTCATGTGTTTAGTAGCTTTGCTCCGCACCTGTTTGTACCGCAGTATTCCCCATGCATACGATTCTGTTGCCTCCGATCGTCTTCGCGCCCTCATCTGCGGTCGCGGGTGTTGAGCAGTTACGTGTGGTTTGAGCAGTAGTTCTGCGGTGACATATTTTTGGCAACGGAATTTACCGTTGATGATGACAATTTCCGCTGAAGATCTGAAGGCTATGTTGGCACAAGGGCAACAACAATCTGAGGCATCTCCGCTGCAATTGATCGAGACTCTCCCTCGACAACTGACTGTCCAGTCTGGCCCAATCTAAAACATGTCCAGACATCCCGTTGATGAAGTACTCGGCAGTGTCACAGAGCTTACTTTTGATCCCGATTCAGGATTTATTTTCGACGCGTAGTTCAAGCGTTATGACGATATCTTCAAAGTGGAACTGGAAAGCATAGACACGTCAAAAGTTCGGCTGCTGCTGTGGAAGCTCGGAACTATGAAACACGACAGGTGTATCAATTCCAATCTACTGAAAGACGCACATGACCACAATTTCGATAAAACGGTTGCCCACCTCACCAATATTTGGCGATCAGTCCTCGTTACGCAATATTCGGTAGAACTGTTTGAAGTTATGCAAAAGAGACGAAAACAGTCTCATTGCTCCTGCGGCAATCGTAAAACAAGAGTGCCAAAAGTTCAAGCTCAAGTCTCTCACAAAGGATCTGTTTGAATGTGTAATTTAGGTATGCAGCTTACAATCTCCAAAGGATGCCGAGATAAGGACGGGAACGCTAAATCAACTAGAGCAGGATCCAGACGTTACATTGCAGACCGTTACTACAGACGCTCAACGAATCATTAATTCGTAACATGACGCAGCAATGATTGAAGAAGGCGAACTTCGGTGACACAGCAGTCCAGGTAATATCTAAGAAAAAGACCACGTGACCGAACACATGAAACACCTACAAGGAAACGCCCCATCGGCCTGCTGGAGCTGCGACGAGTAGCACTTTGTTCAGATGTCCATTAAACAAGTATGTGTGTCAAGTGCTACGGGTAAGGACACAGAAAGTCACTGCAGGTCCAGGCAGCCATTCAGGCAAGCATCACGTATCCGACAGAAAGTACACAAACCTTTTGCCAGGAGACTGAACACCAACTTCACTGATAACGTGAAATATACCGTCCTTGCCGCGATCTTGACGGAGACTGAAGTGATACGAATGGCAGCGGAAAGTTTCCAAAACTTACTGGTGACTTTCGAAATGGTACGCGATGCAACGATGAAGGATCCCGTCCTACTACAGACCATGGAATCTAACCCCACTCAGTGGCCAAAGGACAAATTGACTGGCGAGCTGCACACATTGTCCCAAAGGAAGGAGGCATTGTCAGTTGTGGATGGTTGTCCGCTCTTCTCGAACGCATTGTTAGTACAACTGAGTTACGCCGTCAAGTCTTACGTCAGTTTCACAGAGGACACTCTGGTATCAACAAGATGGAAATGATCGCGTGAAGCTGTGTATTGGCCAAATATTGTCTCAGAAAAGAACATTTGGGAAAGTTATGTCCCAGGTGAGCCATCGCCAACAAAAACCACGGAAGAGCAGTTATCTTCCTGGCCACTAGCAAGGATACCAGGGGGGCGCATCCATGCAGATTTCTTTGGTCCGGTAGATAGGCAGCAGTAACTTATCGTCGTCGACTCATTCAGCAAGTGGCTCGAGGTTATTAGTATAGACCGAACTATCAGTGGTGCCACCATTAACGCACTGAAGCAGCTGTTTAGCCATCATGGAGTTCCAGAGACGTTGATTACGGACAACGGCAGTCAGTTCAACAAATCTGAATTCGCCGAGCACTGTGCACAAAATGGCAACAACCACTTGCGTTCGAACTGTTTCACCACCAGTTAAATGGTCGAGCGAAACGATTTGTTGGCACTTTCAAGAAAGCACTGGTAGGAAGGGGAAGGTACTAACCACGAGATCCTGGACACATTCTTGTTGATGTACAGGAGCACCCCCAACTAACAAATGAAAAACTAAGTGTCTCCCGCGTAAGCATAAATGGAGAAGATACGGTTGCCACCGGAGTTGTTACCCCTAAGACACGAAGCCTCATAAGAGAAGGACTTACAGATGAAGAGGTATTACAACATGCGGTATGGGGCGAAACCACGCCGTTTCACCCCCGCGCAAAATGTTTTGATCAGAGGCTACCATGAAGGAAGGCCACAGGGAACGACGGGATTAATCAAAACAAGACGTGGCAAAGTGCTGCAGGACACCGAAGTGAGTGACCTCATCTGGATCAGGTACGCAACTCAGTTCAGGTCGACAGCCACCTGTGTCAGATCCATACAACGCTGCCTTCCATCTGCGCTGTTGATGGAGAGGATTGTTAAGCGCTCGGAGTAGTATAACTTCCCGGATTCGCCCAAGACGTGTCTCTAACGATTCCAGCCTGAAAACACGATGATGGTCAGCAGGCCTGCGGAAATCCATGACCATACGTTGATTCTCGTAGGTAAGGTGTTAGGGAAACGAAGCAAACAAGCTTGTGATCGATTATCGTCTTGTGGAAATAGAACTCTATCAGAGATCCAGCGCAGACCTACGTGGAGTCCCCCGTTAAGTTCGACACAAGACGTGAACCTGATTGGGGTTCCATTGAGTTGTATTAATTAGCATTTCCTACATTGTTGATTGGCTACAATGTGTTTAGTAGCTTTGCTTCGCCTGTATTTGTACCGCAGTAGTTCGCACGGATACGATTCTGTCTTGTCGCAGATCGTCTTCGCGTCCTAATCTGCCCTCGTGGATTCTGTGCAGTTGCGTGTGGTTTGAGCAGAATTTCTGCGGCGACACATCAGATTGTGAAGTTGTAATGTAAAGCCCATTAGCTATAATCGCCAGCGACTAGCCACAAAAACATCATCTTTCGATTCGCGAGTTCTAGAAGTCCAATACGTGAGAGTAGTATCCGAGATGCTCTCACCAGCAGTCACTGAAGTTTTAAGGTATAAGAAGGGGACCGCATGTTCCATCTAATCACGTAACGAGAAGAAATGGTGAATAAAATACAAAACAAAACTTGGTGGGACGCAACATCTTAGAGTGGAATTAAAAACACCGATTTAATGTTTGTTGGGTTCGAATCTGCTTCAAGTGAACAACAGCGAGCTAGAAACTGCACGCATGGCTAGATAATTCACCAAAGTGCGATGTCAGCAGCAACTACGTGGCCGTAGGAAGAGGAAAGCTACTCACATCACGTTGCAGGAGCGATGAAGATCGTGATGAAGCCTCTCAGTAATAAGCCGCTGGATATCGGGTACCAGCTGCGAAATTGGATTGTGACATTCAACCACAATTTGCGACAATACTTTGGAGTGAACCGCGATCATTCCGAGCACTGGGATAGAATCCATGGTACAGTTTCGGCGTTGCTCTCTCACAAAACTGTACTATGGGACCGGTTTTATCTTCATTTGTATGCTTCACGTAGAGAAGGCTGGAGCTAGGAGCGGAACTCGAGACGTAGTGATTGATGGTTAACATCTCTGACCAATAAGCCACTAAATTGTCAATCATTATGTACAAGGTTCACTCCCATCTCCGGATATCTCCACCAGATGAATCCAAACAAGGGAAAGAAAATGATCGAGGAGTGAAGTGTTGGGAGCAAGCAACACCGGAAAATACCTCAGGTTAATGCCGCTCGGTTCACCGGGAGAGAAATGAACGTGTCGGTGTCTGAAACATCTGATTCTATGTGGAAAGAGCATTGAACCGCCTTACGGACTGCAGATGAGAAACTGAAAGTGACACCTAAAGAGTGCTTGATGTAGCCCGGAAAATGAACGACATGTTGTAAATGGCAAATTCATGAACGCAGTTAGAAACAAAGGCTGTTTATTGTGAGGCAGTCGGTGAATGACATAAACATTTTTGGTAGACGTCGGCGAGTAGAAAAATGGCATCAGCAGTACGCCGGTACCCAGTACCGACGCTTCGCTGCCACGCAACCACCACCAGTTGCACGTGCGCTAAGGATACTGCTAGTGTCGCCCTATCAATACGCAGGTCAGAACCCGCGCCGTCAGGTTACAAGGTAAGCTTGTTACCTCAGTCTACGTCTGCGAATAACACAAAGCAGACGATCGTCAGTACAAAACGAAGCACTAGGAATATGGTAGGTTAGCAGTACAAAACGAGTTTTAACATGCAAAAGCGATATAGTAACAAAAAAAGATTATGATGATTAGCAATATCACAATATTGACCACACAGAAAAGTAGACATAATATACAAATACGTGCCTAACCGATATGAATTCGATGCATCTGGTAACTAGCAACCAAGCAGTACAGAAGGAGGAGATGATACATTCTCTCCACCATTGTAGCAACAAAGGTGTGAAAGTAGAGAAAGATCAAAAAGGACTGAGGGAGAGATGGGCTGACATACAGTTGGCACATACTTTTCAGTCGCCGTAAAAATCACATGTGAAGCAAGTAAGGTGGACGCGAAGTACTCAAAAGGTACGGCGATCTATCAGGACGCTAGTGAAAAAGGTTATGGACAATATTTAAAAGTTAAAGGCCGATGGCGCGGCATTTATCCTCTCACGTAAGCAGAAAGATCACCAGATAAAAGAAAAACCTGCAATTTGTATGATCAGGGCTAACAGCTTCCAGTCACAGACAAGTGACTTCCTTCCAGCGATGCGAAACGGCTATCGGTCTGTTAGAAAAGAATAAAAGCGGACACCAACACTCGAATGGCTGTGATTAGTCGACTATGTCTCGAAGTGATGACCAGCAATTATCCGCGTTGGTCGCATACAGCCGAAAAAAGCGCGTGATACAAGGAAGCACGATGGGACAATGGAGAAGACAGAAATGGTGAGTAAACGCATTTATTTTTAACGTATTTGAAATTGCGAGAAACAAGCAGGAACAGTCCGCAGATGAGTTACTAGGAGTCAGGAGAAATACAAACAGAAACGCACACAAAGTAGCAGTTTGTTCGACAAGTAAAAGCAGATGGTAAAGGTGTCCCGATCATGGTGATGGTGGCTGATGTGCAGGAAGGAACCTCTCATCTGGACCGGCGCCTAGTAGGTGCATTTCTGCCACACGACTTGGATTGACAATCGCGGAGGAAAATCTGCTTCGACCCAATCCACTGCCGCGATTCGGTTTTGTCTAAACAATAAGATATGAAAACAACGCACGTTAAACCAACAGTCTTGAGATGAGTATCGTGCGCTAACTTGAACGAGTAGACTTGTTGAGAAAATAGGAATGCTAAGCAAAACTGAGCCTATCGTTCTAGAATTAAATAAGGTTGAGTGGAGCAGACGCACAAGGAACCCGAATTTCCTAGAGGTGAGTGCTAGGCGAAAGCATGCAAAAGCAAAGCATTAAAAAGAGAAATATGGTACGGAAACTGAAAACAGTGAAGATACGCAAGAGCAAGAGCAGATGCAAATGGCACAAACTTACGGGTGGACAGTTACTATCGAAAGAACCAGATTTGTTCAAGCCAACTCCGAACGAATTCGGAGGTTCGGGACCTCCAGTCCAAGTGGGAGGAGGAATGGCGCAGCTGCTTTTGTTGGCATTTATAGAACTGGCGATGGATGCAGCAGCAGCCAATGCAGCCGCTCGAGCTGCGCTGAGACCGGCTGAGCCGGCACCAGAAGTGAACCCACTGGGGCTTGGGGCAGAGGTGAAACGAGCGACTGGTGAACCAGAATCACTACGTGAACGCGAGCTGTAAGTGAGAAATAAGTAGTATAAAAGCCATAATAGACTGCATCGAATGCCTTCACGTGTGGCAAGAGACCAGAGTTGCGGAAAAGGAAAAACACCCAAAAAGCGCAGCGGCACAGCAACGATCTAAAGTGGAGTGCACTTTTGACGAATGACGCAAGAAAGCCTGAGTTGATTGATTTGTTTAATTAGCCAAGTACTGCTGAATCACAGAAGTGCCACGGATCCAGTTAGGAAGCAAAAAAAATTACCAGAAAATAATGGACAAGGAACGCGTAATGGTGGAGGAAACACGTCATACCATGTTATAAAAAGTCCCCGACTCATTGTGTGCACGAATTCGTGGTACACATTGAGAAAGCCGGTTCGTGACATTAAGGATTACGAGCCTGCCTTGTAGTCCGAGGACATGGACTCGAACCAGTGTAGGAGACCGGGCTACCTTTGCGTGATTGTTGGTGGTTGCATGACATCGGAGCGCTGGTACTGCGTACTGGTGTAGTGCTGATACCCTTGAGAAAGACAGTTTACTGAAGTAGCGTTAAATATTTGTTGCACGATGATTGACTGTTGCATGTGATTCAAGATACGCAGCTGCGTTGTTAACATCATAGTTTGCGCATCTCCAAATGGGTCAGGTAACCCAACGATATTTACGACTGAAATAATTGAAGCGAAATGAACAACTTTTCCAATATCGCGATACATCTTCGACAACGCTTCGGGACACAATTCAATTGGAGTAATAAAAACCTGCATAACTATCACCCATCCGCAAAACAGATGTGTTGACAACGACTAAAACGTCGTTGATGTAATAGTCAAGGAATTAAGAAGTGACACAACTATCAATGAAGTGTGTCCGCGGTGAACGAAGGAGACGAAGATCAAACGGTTATATCATCGTGTCCACATGATGAGTTCATTTACTAAGTAGAAAACAGAACAGTACGGAGTATGAAACATATGAATATCAAATGACACAGTGTGAACGACGAAACAAACGGTGCTAAGCTTATGAAAGGGCGAATAACAACCGAGGTAAATAATCTAACAGAATACATCATTTGGAAGGGGTAGGATTTGGAAAAAATCGGTGATCTTAATGGGCAATGATGGCAAGTCAGTAGCAATGTGGAGCGCAATAGTCAAGTAGGTTGACCCCAATGAAATGTATTTCAATCCAGGCAACGGTCTATATGAAGGAATCCGTGGTGTGTAAGCCACTGGAAGCAGCCTACAATTTAGTAGTAGAACAAAAAAGACGAATCTCAGAGTTCGTAAGGAAGAGTAGACCGAATCGCAGTGTTGCAAAGGTGGACAGGGAGAGCGGCAAAAAGACGTGGCTTTTCATCAACATCAGTCATCATTGTACACGTTAGGAACCAGTAAGAGACATCAAGGTTATTGCGAGAAAACACAATTCAGTCAGAGGACAGTAAAAAAAAGACAAAAGGAAACAGAAAGATTTCTACCCTTAGTTTGAAAGTATGACAACGTGCGTAGAGAGAGAGGACACGCGGAAGGAGGAAGACGAAAGAAACAATACAAACGCTACTGAACTCGGCTCTTCACCATGTCAACAAGTGTAGCAAATCAAATGTGTTCGTTCAAATTCGAAGCCCAAACAAGCCGCGTAGAGGCACCATCCGAGCTGAACTTTGAAGTGAGAGCTTTCAATCCTATTGGCCGTCGTCCGTTGGTTTTACCTCCTCTTTCCTATTCGCACATCGACCGCGCAAATAAAACACGTCGCAGGAGTCGGAGTGATGGCATGTGTAACACATGACCCAACCAGCGGAGTCTGGTGCATGGAATAACGGTGCTGAGCGGTTAACTTATTCTTTCTACACCAAATACAAGACGCCGAACACCCGTTGCTCACGTGGTGTTCCCACCAGATGTGAGCTAAACTACGCTGTCACCGGTAGTTGAACGCTAGTAGCCTCTTTATGTCGGCTGATTTGATGAACCAGGTTCCACAACTGTACAGTGGGGTTGAATGGACGGCTACACTGAAGACTCTACTCTTCAGGATGAGAGTGCTGTCGCGCCGGTGCCAAAACAAGTAATGGGGTGAAGCGAAAGCGCTCAGACATTTGCCATGCGATTCGTGTCTTTAGTTTATTTTACATGGGCTGATACAGCCGTCAAGGTAGCTGAATTTTTGGACGACTTCAAGCCAACCCCCATCAAACGTCAGCGCACAGTTTTGCATTTTTAAGGTACAAAGCACAAGTCGAAATGATTGACAGTGGTAATCAGCCAAGTGCTGCTCGGCATTTTTGTAACGTGTCAGATATAAGGCTAATATCATCGATAAACTCCATGTCGAGAATTCGGTCACCCGGGAGCAAAGCCATTACTTCTAAGTAGTGCGCAGTGAACGCAGTTTCCAGGAATCCTTCAGCGGTGATGTTAAAAAGGAAAGGTGATAGGAAGCAGCAACGGTTTCACACCGTTCGGAATACAGAAGGACAGAGGCAGTTTTCCATAAGACCTCAGTGACGACAAAATGTGGACTGAAAGAAAAATTCGCTTAAATCAAGTGCAACGCGGTCCCTTTGTAAGTCACAACACGATTCGCCAGCCATTTATACATATTTTACCCAAGATAATGTGTGTGTGTGTGTCTACAGTGGTCGCTAAAACACATGTTAAAATAAAGCTTCCAAGGGACCACAGTAAACAGACGCGCCAGAAATGAGTTTAGTTTGAAGTTTAGGGAAACTCATGTTCAGATCTGGTTTCTGCATCAAACAAAGAGTGTCTATGGGTGATAAGGGCGCGAACTAGTGAAAGAACACACGTTATTGATGAGGGAGGATTTAAGTGATGGAAATGAAACCAAAGAAGTCGAGGCGAGGGCATTTCAAAAGATTGACAGAAGACGAAACTAACAACTTGAGCGGCATGTCACTCATAAGAATGAAAAGCAGCAAGTGAATACTTGAGTGGTTTTGAAGTAGGAAGTTCATTAGAAAATAATTGGTAAGCTACCTGCATTGGTACGTCGCAGCTAAGTTGTGTCTAAAATGAGGACTAATAGGACAACAATTCACAAGTGAATGTATAAATTGTCAGCTGTGCGCCGTAACAGCGCTTCGCTGCCGCGCGACTACCATCAGGCGCGCGTGGGTTGTGTATACCGCGACAACGCCCGCCCCTATGCGTAGTAGAACCGGTGGCCACAAGGCACCAAATAAGAGTCCATTAAAAGTAGTGTCAATTCAGTTGCGGAAGCAAAGTAGAAACGACTAAATCGTCATGAAATTTAATGGAGGGAAAAGAAACAAGATGAGTCAGTAGATGCACTTGTCTACCGGAGTTTTAAAGACGCTTTTTTATGTGATTTAAAGTACTGAACTACCGTAATGTTTATAACTTTTATGACTGAAATTGCAGAAAATACATTAATGTTTATTATTTTGAAGCAACTTTGACAAATCCATGTTTGTATTAATTGACTCAATGTTTAAATCACATGTTGGCACGTGTCCTTAAGGACGCCAGCAGAGAATGGGTGAAAAGTATTCCCACCAGAGCGAGGTATATCATTAGTGCCGTAAGCTAAGGATAACCTGACGACCGCGATCGAAAACAGTGAGAATTCGCTGCTCTTCCGATAGAATGTATCCCCATTGTCGTTGTTTCACAGTAATACAAGCGTCGTAATGGCTCGAGTCTTGACTCTCAAGGAAAGGCTCAGGTGCGACGAGCAATGGAAAATGCTGCTAGCCGTTTGGGCTCCAGAAGGTAGAACGTCCTTGATAGGAATCGACGCGAGTAAGAAAAAGTTCTTACCTACTCGCAGCAGTAAACTGATCACTGAAAAAGCAAACAATGCGAGCAGAAGTGCTCCCCATTTGGATCAAGGGGGTAGCAGAAAAGATAGCACATAGTGCAATTTGCGAAGCCAGATATCACAGTAGCATGTGTTCATTCTGATACCTTAGTGGTTGCTGCAGAGCAGCGAATTATCAAGGAAAATGATTTAACGATGCCAAAATGTGGCAACGAGTTAAGAGCTCTAACGGGATAACAAAAGAGGTAATGAATGAAAATGTGTACTGACCGTTTTCTTCGCCTATCTCTGGATTTACGCTCCGAACTGTGTGGTCCGCCAGCACCAGTACGGGAAGAATGAGGTGAATGAGATCTCGAACGAGATCTTGAAGCGCGTGAACCAGAACGAGAGCGCGATCTGGGACTGCGAGAACGTGAACGGCTGCGCGAACGTGAATCGCGTGAACCAGATCGAGAACGAGACAAAGAACGAGATCTGTGTGGGGGATAACAGTGAACGTCCAAGATGGATAACAGACAAATTTTCAGGTTTAAAGACGTTTTGGCTTCCATATCAGTGCAGTTTGTGAGGCTAGAGGCGAACGCGGTAAAAGAGGTTGAGGACGGGAAATGGGGTTTAGGATAAAATAGTGATATTACCTGTTGGCCGGATGATAGTACCTGCACGCCCATGTCGATGGTGGTTTTATTCGATGTTTCTTATCTCTAACACCATTCACCCGAAAATACAAACAAGAACAGCGAAGAAAAATTCCAGTTTGAGAGTGTGGTTGCAGTCCCACTGGGGCTGCATGAAACTGGTTGCACGCACCCTTGGGAGATGCAGAAACGCGTATGTACATCGTTCGAATGCAGTAGAACGCACTCGCAGAAGCGAATGCGACCGAATGCAGGTGCGATTTTGAGGCTGGCTCAGAGCACAATGTGACCAGACGGGCTATTAGGCGTGAACTAAAGCGGAGCCTACGTGCTGACAAGGAAGTCTGGTGGACCAGTAGGGCTCAACAAATGGAGGACGCAGGAGCAGTAGGCAATTACCGCAAGCTCTTCCAGCTGATCCGCATCACTGGTCCCATGAAACCAGGCGTCTGTGAGACAATCAGAGAAAGCGGGGTGCCCTGATACACAATAAGGAACGCCGTATGGCTCGTTGGGCGGAACACTTTCAAGATCAGTTCAGCTGGCCCCCCGCTCCCGGACCTATTCCTACTCAGGTGATGCAGGACAAGTCGTGGACGGTTAGAACCTCCGTCCGGGGCCGAGATCCAAAATGCGATCACAGCTCTCAATGGTTTTCGTGCCAGTGGACCGGATTCCCTTCCACCTGCAGTATTAAAGCATGGTGGTGAGGTCCTCTGCAAAGCACTGACCTCCCTATTCGAACGTATCTGGAAGGAAGAGGGTGTCCCGGCTAATTGGACCGAATCGATTATAATGGTAATATACAAGAAGAGCAGTCGCAAAGACTGTTCTAACCACGGAGGCATTAGTCTACCGCCAGTTGTGACAAATTGCTCGCTTCGATTCCCGTTCGCCGCTTCACTGTGGAATGGGAATCTTGGATTGGGGAAGAGCAGGCCGGTTTCCGACCAGGGTGTGGCTTTATAGACCATATATTCACTTTGCGGCAGGTGCTAGAGCAGCGCCACGCATACCGCAGACCGACAATAGCTGTGTTCCTCGATTTCAAGAGTGCGTTCGATTCAGTCGATCGATCGATTCTGTTCGAAATACTTGCGCGGAAAGGTGTTCCCACGGAATATGTGAACATCCTCCGTGCTCCATACTCGAACACTACAGGGCGTGTCAGGGTCTACGGTGGCCTAGCGGATAGCTTTCCGACCACAAGTGTTGTTCGTCAGGGTTGTCCGATTTCCCCATCTTTGTTCAATTTCGTCATGGATACTATCACGGAGCGTTCCCTTGCGGAATCTCACGATGTAGGTTTTAAGTGCTGCATGGTGAAAGGTTAGTTGATCTAGATTATGCGGACGATATCGTCTTGCTTTTCGATAATGTTGCGGCGGCCCAATCAACCCTGAATAGCCTGTCTTGAGGGGTCCCATTATTGGGTGTGCGCTTCGCCCCTTTAAGGTGCAAAGTGTTGCTGCAGGACCACCAGCCACTCGATGACCCTTGACGCTTGCTAACGAGGAACTCGAGGTGGTTGATCATTTCGCTTATCTTGACAGCTGCATCAGCAATGATGGGTGCATAGAAACTGACGTCAGCTTCCGTATTGCGAAGGCCAGATCTGTCTTAGTGAATCTGCGGCATCTTTGGCGACAGAAGGGTTTCACTTCGTCTGAAAGGCCGTGTATACAAGGCCACAGTGAGGGCCGTTCTGCTCTATGGTAGTGAGACTTGACCCCGTCGGTCTGACGATCTGAGGCGCCTTCAAGTCATTGATAATCAGCGAAACATTTCCGGTGTCGCATGGCACCAGCGTGTCCGCAACGATGATGTGTGTATGCGAGTCCTAGGTGGTGATAATCATGCTAACTCCCTAGAACAACAGATAGCACTGAATAAGTTACGTTGGCTCGGGCACGTGCTACGCATGCCTGGTCACCGCTTACCTAGGAAGGCATTGTTCAGTCTACTAGGTGTAGGATGGCGCAAGGCTCGAGGTGGACAGAAGTTGACTTGGCAGCGACAAATGAAGTCACTGACAACCAAACTGGGTGCCGTTGGTCCGTCTGGCCTTCGGGGTTGGAGTCCACGTGACTCACCTTATGCTTGGCTCGAGACTTTGCAGGACATGGCTCGCAACCGACACCAGTGGCGCGTCTGCTACCGTCTCCTAATCGGATTGCCTGTTTAAAGTATGTTTGGTGCTGAGTTATCTGCGGGGTAATGGCTGATTATGATGCGTGGCAGTGAAAGCCGCAAGGAAGCTGTCTCGCCGATGCCGCCTTATCTTTGCACGATAGCCAGCTGTTTGTGACGGTATGTTGTTAACACAAGGTGTAGGCGACTTGACCCTGAATGTTTGCTTAGGGCATTAAGGTTTTCAGGTAAATCCCCTTTCTCTCCCTCTTATTATTCTTTATTTCATAGGTCATGCTAGTTGTATGGCAGCGAAGCATCAGTTCAAATGGCTGATGTACTGTTGTAGTTGTAGTAGTAATTGTTGTTGTTGTTGATGATGATGATGATGATGATGGCGATGGTGATGATGATGGTGCGATTTTGAGGGTTTGCGCCGTAGTGTTTGAAGACTGGCTAGCTTGAGACATGCGGAAAGAAATCAGTGAGTAATGGATACAAACATCTGCTGTCAGAGATGATTAGTGATGCCCCACGTCTACATCAGTCAGTCAGTTTGTAACCCATAAACTGTTGTATCGCATGAGCAGTTTTTAATAGCATGGCCGTCGACATGTTCCCAAATCCACTACGGAGCAGATCGACAGTGGGTTGGTTCGGCATGTCTTTACCTTACGAGCAGCGCTGACTGTACTTGGAAAGGGTCACCGGAGCAAGCAAGCCAGCGCATTACGTTCAACTGATTCGTTAACGTGACGTTTTTACCATTTAGCCACTGATACAAAGTTGGTGGAAATGACCTGTATGGCTAAATGAAGTAGTCAACGAAACAGTTTAGCAGAGAGAACGAAATGAAAAAGTAAGTCGAGTTGATAAACTGGTTGCAAAACGGGGTAAGGTGGGCAGTGTTTGCGGCGAAAAATGCAATGGGGTTAACTGCTCAAAAGACTAGTCACATGTCCCCAGTACCTCCGACCTAAAGGGTTTCTATCCGATCCGGCTCTGTGACAGACAAAACGTGGAAAAAGCACACAGCAATGCAGTAGATTTACTTCGACAAGTCTTGGTTAATAGTGTCTATGAAGAGTTAGATGGCAGTGTACGCTTTCGATCCAATTTAGCAACAGTATGTGTAGTCAAAGTGAAGCAAGAGGTAATGAGCACGTCGCAACTGGGTGCGGCGCAGTGCAGTATGTTGAATTCATCGAAGGCTAGTGCGGTCACAGTTGTCGATGTATCTCATCACGTTAAGATAAGAAGAGACAAGATCTTAGCACGATTGCCTTATCATATCACAAAACAGAATAAACAGCAGTTTAGTGTGAAGTGGGTCATCGATGATTCAGTAATATGGCCGGTCGAGATGACCACGAACCGCTGTGAGTGGATGATCCGTGAACCAAAGAGAACTTAAAGAGAACGCAAAAGAAGAGAGAACTAAAGTGGCTCAACTTTCCGATGGATTGGAAACACCGAATGAGTATAACTTAGTAGTAATTGGTGAATTGGTGTGTACGGAGCATATGAAACGATAGTTGATTATGGAAATCAATAATGCGAGAACAGGCGAGAAAATACCAACCGCAAACAACACTTACTTTGAAGGTGATCGTCGCGTGTCAACATGAGTACGCGAGGCCGCACTATCTCCATCGGGAACTGGACGTTGTATCAGCCCCTGGGGCACACCTGGAGGTGGTTGTGACATGCTAGGAGGGGGGAAGTGTAGGAACCCTGGAGACGGGAATCCCGGAGGGATACCAGGAAGTGCCGGACCGGCAGACTGTCTAGGCGGGGGAATCGAGACGCCGGGCTGTCCCCCCACTGAGCCGGTGGCCTTGTAGCCAGGATATGTGGTTCCAAGCGGTAGAGGTGGAGGGAGCTGCGCCAGTGCCTCTGGTCCCGTGCGGACACCTTGGCCGATAGCAGCAGTTGGGTAGGCAGTAATGTGCGACAAATGGAAAGCGGTTGGCCTAGAACTCATTCCATGCGAGGAATCACGAGTGAATGGTCTCATGTGCTCATTATCCACATCCGGATTCGACTCGCTCTGAGAATCGTCGCCAGAAGAACTGGCAATCCCACTACCACCACTGTTTCTGCGACGTCTACGGTTATCGGAAGATGCGCGAGAATGCTGCGAAGTAAATACAAGTCAGATTCCGAATAAGGTATGTTTAAAACGAAGGGAATGACAAAAAGGGGTCTCGACAAACGAAAACAGGTGAAGGGCCTCAGGAGTAAACAATGCGTAGAGGACTGAAGCAAGCTGCAGACAAAACAGAAAACCGAAGAACGTAGAAGAAGTAAATAGGTCCGCTGCAAGGTAAACGCAGGCGCTAATCGACTGCGTAAAGGCGCAAAGCAAAGTAAAACATCGAATAACCGGAAACGCAGAGCACTGATTCAATACCATGCGTGGATCCAAGTACTACAACGGAAATGATGGTATAGTTTGGAGTATGCATTGTCGATTCAAATGACGAAAATGCACCCCCCCAGGATAAAGAAAGTATTGCTTGCCGCATGCTAAACATGGTAAGTAGTCACGGTGGCAGAATCACCTTCTGATGACCCCACCTGAAGCAGTCATAGAAGCCTATTGTATGGTCGAGTGTTTTAATATGGGAGTTTATTGAGTGAATCACAGGTAATATTCAGCAAAACAAATATTCCAAGTTCAGTGATAAGGCTAAGAATAGATGAGCACCGGACTAAAAATTCTCTTCAAGCAAATCATTATCGGACCAAAACGTTTAAAATGATGAATAATAAAGTGATGTGTGGGGACATAACCAACCATGGCCCAGCTTAATAAGCCAGCTAGCAGTGTTTTAACCCGTTTTTATGTGCGCAATGGAATGGTAAGAATTGTCGAGAAGGAAAATCATCGTGGAATTGTATAACAAAATAAGCGGTGGTGAAGAAAAACCAGGCTGGGAAAAGAAGCGAATGAAATAATGGGTCTGTAAAAAATATATCGAATGAAATGTCAACAGGCAAATACCAGAGCGCCTTTGATTGCGTAACCGCCCTAGGTCAGGTAAGGCCTCCAAGCCCTGATGTGGTCGATCATGGATACCTTATCCATAAATATGGCACGTACCAGACCGAGGAAGTCTCTTAATCAGTCTTCATGCCCTTTACCATGTTATATACTGGTCAATTAAGAATAATTCGTCTAATTCGAAACACCAATGAGCAAGGTTTAAAAACTAGGAAAACAATTGCATGAAGTCCAGTTCGTGTGTTCTGAAGAATTGACGACTGGCGTAGGTCAGGACCTCGTGCACTCTGTGACGGCGTAACCCCCGTTAGTTGCCAGGTAGCTCGCATCTGCATAGGTTCTAAACCAAGATCCAGAGATTACAAGCTAAACGTTTGAACTAGTATCCCACAGGCAGGTTTTCTGTTTTAGCGTTGACAGTAACGTGATAATCAGTTAACTGCGCACAAGTATTGTTGGTGCTGAATGGGACCGGTAAAGATGTATAAGGAAAACTTCGTAAGCGTCGATGAAGTGGTCCTTTTATCTCCGACAGGGTTAGAGTTCTGTGACACTGAATAACGGCTCCACTGAACAAGGTATGACATGAGGACTCAATTGATAGAATGGAATGTATATGCAAATGTTGGGATTCGTACCAAATTGGACTAGATATGAAAAAATAATATGAACAGCAAACGAAAGATGAGCGTGGGCGTCTTTTTGTGAATGATCGTTTCACACACACACATATGCATTCATGCACGGTGAGAAATGAGATGCCGATACAGGCGGAAATTACCTGTGTCTCGCCCGCAGTTCCAGATCGCCGCTTCCTCCTTTTCTTCTTCTTTTGCAAGTAATCGCGAGCTTTCTCTTTTTTGCTGTAAAACTCATACAAACCTAGACGTTCCCAACCCTCGCCGTCCCTTGTACGATCGTGGCTGGGTGGGAGATAAAAATTTTCTATGGCTTGAAGCAGACGTTCTGACGGCGCCTTCGGAGGTAGAAGTCGCAGTTTGGATTCCTCTAGAGGTGAATAGTCGAAGTCACACAAGCGAATTAATGGATGCATCAAACCGGCGGGTAACTCCCAAGGTGGGCATTTGGGGACAAGGTCAACCGGGTCGACCGACTTTTCCTGCGGTAGGTCAGCTTTATCAGACCCGTTGGAGCTGTGTGAGCCTCGAGATGACCTGAGATGGTAATCGTCTGCATCGTCACGCGATGAATCATGTCGGGAAGAGGAAAAGCGTGAAGGTCGGCCAGAACGATGATGAAAGGAGCGCTCGCTGCGATTATCGGTGCGTCCTCTATCATCGTGCCGATGGTAGTTGTCATACTGATTATCGTAACCTGATTGGACAAAAAGACAAAAACAAACATTTCACATGGGTATGAATACAAAGAGTGTGGAATGTAGTGAGAACAAAAGAAGTAGGGATATATGTGGTAAATGTGATCGAAAGGAAATGCAACCCTACAAGTATTCACGAAGAGCAACCAGCAAATGCGACACAAGAAGTGAAAACCGCACTAAACAAACACAATGGGTGCATAAGGGTGCAGCAACGAAGGGTTCAGCTAAGACCTAATCAAACCAAAACCCAGATGCGGAGCAGCTGACAACGCGTCGGAAAGCTCGGGCGACCCAAATCACGATTAAATAGGCCTTCAAACAAGTGCGATGATATGAAATCTGTTGCGGTAGAAGTGGACACAGGAATAGAATGGCTCGGCGACAAGATACCATCGACAGAGTTGCTTTGTTCCAGTCCCGCACTTCTCTCAACTTCATTTCACCCACGTCAAACGGTAAAGGATCACTTATGGCCTCATCAACCACATCGACAGGGAAACCAGAATATAGCTGAGGCAGATAAATACTGGATGTTGCCCGTTTGCGACACTGTACTTCACGATCTAGTTCGCACATACATGCGCCAGGCGGCTCAAGAGTAGAGAACTCGACTGAGATCCCGAAGGCCCCGGGTTCGAGTCGCAGACTTGCTATGCCTAGCTGATGAACGCAGATAAGTACGAAACCGATCGTACATTGTGACAGTACGAGCGGTGGTCCAAATGACTGAATTCACCGGAATTCACTTCGAACTGAATTGTAGTCCAGATTACGATTGCGTGCTACGGTCTATTCATGAAACGGGTGCTTCACAATGACTTTTCAAGTAAAACCAGAACATACTTCTACAAGAAAACCCCATTCAACATCGGATCTTGTTGATTTATTGCATCAAATCGTTCCAAAAATAACACTTGAAATGGACTTTCGTTCAGAGATAATGTGCGCTGCCTCGCCGAAATAAGCATACAAGACGACACTGCCCCCAGGGCATCAGCGCAGATTCTCAGTTCGAAAGTTGGCTGGAGGTCGATGCGAGATGATTGAAGTGTCGCTTGATGGTATACAAAACAGCAGTACAATGACGTTTGCTCTATAATCAAATGAATATAGGAAGCAGGAAAGCAGGCAAACTAAAGTCATCAGGACATGATCAGAGGGAGCTTTCCAAAGTGCTGATATCAGGTGCTATAAGGTTGCGACATTCTAACGGAAAGTGTGATCGAATCAAGGGTACCGTTGTTCAGAGAAATGGGGTAGTAGGTTACCACGTCTGGTACGCACGACTTGAATGCAAGAAAAAACGAGTCCACTCTTACACTACATTGCATACGTCTGTGCACTTAAATCGAGTTGGCCGGATAAATCACCAAAGCAAGCACGAAGACGGTATGTAGAACACACGACAAATGAGGTATATGGGCTTATCTAAAAGGCACTAACTCAAGCTCCATTTACAAATCTATGGCGATAGTATGGCTCAGATGGCACCTTGGAGCATCGCCGTTGCCGCTGAGAGTGCTTGTAGAGGTAAAAGCGATGCGGGGTACCCAACATGATAAATCAGGGCTGGGTGTGCCCGATGTGAATGTTGACTAGACGCCCATGCGTCCGATGTCGCCACGCCGCCTACCAGCTCGGAGAGACCAACAATCATTGCTGATAGTGCTAGCTGGTTTAATCATCGAAATCGGTACAGTGAAGGTTTTGTCCTGTGTATGTCAAGTATACATGTCCCGTCGATTCTGCATTAGTTAACTGGACAAGGAGCTCCCGTGATTCAGATGACCACAAAATGCATCTACAATCTCTGGTTGATATAAAGAATACCGACAAAAAGTGATTCGGATCGAGGATAAACGTGGTCCATACTAACATGCTTTCAGGGCGTATCCCGCTGGGTTTACATCGAATTCGTGACGTGACGACAGTGGTGGGCTGTGCAACCTAAAAAGCCATCGGCAGCACGCCGGTGCGCAGTACCGAGGCTTCACTAACGCGCAACTAGAAGCCACACGTGGGCTAAGGATACTGCGAGGGTCGCCCGGTCCCTACTCCGGCTCAAACCCGCACCCTCGGATTATAAGGCAGGCTTGTGATCCTTAACGCTACGGGCCAGTAGCGTAAGCCACACATGATATCTCTTCGGGTGCTGGAGCCCTGTGATTATCGATACGAGTGGAGTGTAACCCAGGAGACAAGGGAATCAAATAAGCTGTCCGAAAATTAATAATGAATTAGAAGCTTCCAATGAAGCTTCGTTTTCTAGACGATAATGTCGCCGGAAGAAATGTACTTCCACGCAAAACGGGAGAGGTTGCAATGATGGCATGGGATGTTGACCATATGCACGCCACACGGAGGTTAATTGTAACAGAAGCCGCAATTTGGGGTGAATAGCAGGTTGGAAACGTCGAGATTCCGATCCAGACACACACAACGGAAGCTAAGTAACTAGCTCACCGCTGATAACCATGTGAATAGGATCGGTTTGTGAATGACATTTAAGCCTGAAAAAAGATGTCAGCAACAAGCTAAGAGTAAAAGCAAGGTGGAGTTCGTGACTGCAATTTCTGACAGAAACCTAGAGGACAATTGGTATAACTGTCAGTAGCCCACAAATGCTCAACTATATCTGAAGGATCTCAGAGATGTGAGAAGTCAGGAGTGCTAAGGAAGTTGTGATTTTATACTGGTCTCACTGAGGTTGTATGTAGAAGACATATGTGGAATCATAAATTCCCCTTATTGGCAGGCTTTGTTGCCGCTTTAACTCTGTACACTAGCTTTAGTCAGTAGACGATATGTCCTGAATAAGTATCAGATAGTGATTGGAATAAGAGCAATCCTTAGACGATAAAATTCAATAGCTACCTGGATCGTAAGGCCCATCGTAGCCGCACTCTATATCATCGTCCTCGATATACACGCTGCTTTCCGAATGATCGCGACGGCTCCCAGGTGCACCGTAACCATGAGGAGGAAGGAACGGAGGTCCGACCATTTGGAACGGAGGAGGACCCCAATTAAGAGGCGGACCGCGGTTGTTTCCTGACCAATTACCACCGCCACAAGGAGGAAATCCAGGCGCGTAGCCACTGCCACCACTGCGCGGAGGTCCAAAGTAGTTTTCTTGATGCATCCTGCGAGGAGGATCGCCCAATTCACTTTCACTCGAGTCGTAAGGCGGCATTGGGTGCGGGCCCGGTGGTCTCCAGCTGCCGTAGCCAGGACCGGTAGCCTGGAATTGGTGGTAAGACACAATTGTAGATAATTTGCTAGTAAGAATATCAGAAGACGGATGTTGTGGGATGACCGTGTCATTTCGTGCATTCTCGTCGGCCACGTATACGCGAATAACAAGAGAATCAAAATAAGATCACATAAAATCGATTGTTGATCAACGGTTTTACGATTGGTGCGTTACTCACTACCGCCGCAGACTTAGTGTTACTGTCATCATGTTAAGTAGGATGAGCCATACACAGTCCCTATGCGCAGTCGAAGACTTCACATTATCAATTTCGTTAAGAGAACATTGTTATCGATCGACAGCCCCCACCACCGTGTGTCCAAAAACAGCTGACGGTGACAGCAAGCCTGGCTTCGTAGCGAGTAAAGAATCAATCGTAAAACAGTTGACCAACAATCGATTGTTTGTGATCATATTTTTGTTCCTTTGTTATTTGCATGTAAATGGCCGACGAGAATAAATGAAATGGCTGTCATCCCACAACATTCGTCTCCTGAGATTTTGATTCAGAAGTATGAAGGGAATACCGTGTTTCAAATTTGCTAATAAGATGGTGATCAAGTATTAACTACTATATGGGAGTAATTCCATAAACACCGGCATTGAAGAAACATCAGTTCACCTACCTGCATCGGTGGCTGAGCTGGTTCGAAATGCTCAGGCCTAATTTCGTGCTGTGCAGCCGATAGCTGACGATGCACGTGATCACTAAATTCTTTGTGTTGCATCTCTAGAGAAGCATACTGCGACTCAATATCCCGCTTTATCTTCTCAATGTCCGCTTCATGTGCCTGTGTAGAAGACGAAGAGTACGAAGTCAAGAAACAAGAACCTGGAACAGGCCTAGAAATGGCAAGAACATCGCACTCGCATACCGTGATAAGAATCTAATAGTGAAACAGTTACAAACAGATAAAGTGGGTTTTCGAAAGAGAAACGTAGAAAAAGTACGCGATGAGGCTCAGGTGGACGGCTAATACTGGGATGGATGAAGAGTATATCTGTCAACAATAAAAGACAGTCCACTTTACGAAGCTCGACCAGTATACACAAGTTCTCTGAACCGGTTAATGCAGCGAATGGACTAGAATGTAATCACGGCCATAGGCCCAGAGAAAGAGAAACTGGTTAAGGGGCGAATAGGCAGACAGTAACACAACAACACTCGCCACAAAATATCCACCTACAGAAACGCAATACCGTGGTACAAATCAAATCATTCACCGGAAAGCTATCTGAAGCCTACAAACAAAAGGTAGCCGATTAAACCAAAAACATGTTGCAAAAGTGGTGTGAGTCCATGAAGTAACCAGCATCTGTAATACCAGCGGCAGCAGTAACACCGGATTTAACCTAGACTGATGAATCGTTGCCATATAGCCATGATGAACTTGGTAATGAAGATTCATAATAGAAGAAGAGGTGCGTAGGACACAATACCCATACAACGTGAGCAAAAGCTCAGGAGCGAGGTGCCATTATCAACAACACAAGATGACAAATAGCTGTACATCATGCGAAGATAAGCAGTCGGCGAAGAGCTATCATTGCGATCTTCACTCTCCCGAAGCATAATAGTGAGATCTATAGACAACTCAGTAGCAGGCACACAAGGATATACGACCAGGATTCCATGATGAAAGGACACACGAAACTTGCGGGCAGCAAAAAGCGCACATGGAAGATTGCGCACTTAAAGTAAACACATATTATCAATCTGGTCTCATTGTTACAAGTGCTCACACAACGTTGCATCTGGGGGGAATAATTGGGCACATTTCCAACACTTGGGCCGATCTTCTGATTGGGCTGCATTTTTCCGCTCCAGCACTTAGCTCACCAAGACACAATGTATGTAGGTGCTTCAATCAAGCTAGACATAAGTGCGATTGTTAAAACGCTAGTATCCACTTCGTAGCAGACTACTTTTTGAGCTCTGGCTCAAGACAGCGTCCTCCAAGCAAGCAACAGACACGGCAAACTGAGTCGCACTTCGTAAGGGGAACAATTCAGATGGCATCACTCAGCCAGCCTGCGAAATTGACGACCACACCCCATTCCTTAAGCACGAGATTATCCAGAATACAAACTCAGTCGCCAGAATAAGGTAGAAAAAACGATAAGTAGCCGACCTCTCAGCGGTCAGAGCAACCTCACATCTAATCCACACGTCCCCTGACTCTCTACTGATATCAGAGATATGATACGCGTGGGACCTCAACTTTATGACTGAAATCTGGTTCCGCGCACTAATTACCAACGACGAAGTCGCGATGAAGTAGGTGCCCCTTATTCGCAAATATGGCAAAAGGAAATGGACTACGTTTATGTTGTCAGTAAAATCATTCTTCCATGTGAATTTGCAACTGCTAATCCGTAGGTACCGGTTTTGTTTGCAGCCAACTTTGTGACGATGTCGGTTCATCTGAGAAGTCTCTTACGTCTGTGACGAAAAACGCTAACAGGTTAGTTGGCATCTAGCAATTACTCAGGTAAGGGCGCAACCAGTTATCCTGTAACACCATAGATTTAATTTGAGTCAGAAATGAGGGACGATATGGAAGGCTATCGAAATGCATAGGATCCCTCGAGCAGCCTCGACGCGCGCAGATACTCCCACAACCCTAGTACGTACGAATCACTAGTGCCCCTTGAAAGTGTTACCACTCAAGGACGCAAAACATACGAGTGACTATTCATGCGTTGATCTGGACTGCGTTTTCCTCAATGAAATGCGCAGGTAGAAAATCGCTCACTTAAGCAAGGCTAATCACTCGTAAAGATTTCAAATTGAAAGAGACAGAATGTAGGTATAAATATAATGGTACAGGATTTGTCCCTACGAATACAACTTCCAGTTGAGCCCAAATAGCTTAACGCTAGGTTTAACACCGGCAGGAACAACAAGGGTAATTATTGCAAATTAGCTAATCTTCGCAAGTATTTAAGCCGGTCTGTCGTTGATTCATAATCTCAAACACAAGAAGCAACGGCAGCTTTCAACGCATCAGATGTTTTCTTCCTCACCTCAAAGCGACATGTATGCGCATTTGCTAGTGTAAGTCCGTGGCATGCCAAGTCCCTCTAGAGTCCATCAAACAAATGCCATAACGCTCAGATGACTGTAGTGCAATAAGGAATTCAAAGCATTGTGAATCCCTCCGCAGCAACTGGTGGTTTCCGGTGACTTATCAAGAACGGCATCGTGTAGGTTCCACATTTGCAGTGGAACTGTGGCTCTCGGCCTGCTGCCCTTTCAATGTAAGTAGAGAAGAAATCACTGAGCACCGCATTATATGATTTTGCATTTGGAAATGTGCTGGCAAGCTCATCAAAAACTCCTCTCCCCTCAGCGACTGGGACAAAGAAAAGTAAAGGCAGCGACTTCAGCTGTAGTTTAATATTGACATCCGTTTCAAAAGCACTCTTTAGACCGACTTTGCATATTTTTGTGATGATACTTTGGCGTAGGTGGAATTAGCATCCTTTAATTACTGCGTCCGGAAATGCCAGTCTCGCATTGGCATATATCCGGTAACAGTAGTTGCATTATTGCAAATATTCTTGTATAGGTCTGCAACAGGATGTACAGGTAAGCGGAATAACTCTTGCCCACGTTGGCGTGCCAAGTATACGGCGGATAAAAAGTGTTGAGAACTTTATCAAAAGTGCCGTCTCAGTATATGGTATCTGTGCACAATTCAAGTATAAATCCTTTATCACCTAACACGATAATCCTTTTTGGATCATCCAAACCTAAATCATGTCGAATTAGTTCGGAGTAGAGCTCAGGAATAGTAAAATTTGTGCCAGTTGAACTAGGCAAATGACCGCTTTTTCGGTGACTCAGAAGAGTTCTTGAAATGGAGGGTCGTTTGGGAAAGTGGGCCAAAGATTAAGTACTCAGTGCAGACAAAGCATTTCCATGTTGCGAGGTGCAGCACTAATTGCCCTCATGTGCAGTTTCATTTGGCGTCGTGCAACATTGGCTTCAGCTTTTTGAGGACATGAGTCAAGACAGTGCGCAGTCGGCTGTTGCAAGATGATCTCGTCTCGTGCATCAGTGGATGACATCTCATATCTCGGTTTTGCTTGGATCTACAAGTTACCACTCCTTCGATAGTGTGGAAAGCAAGGTATTCAAACCCCAAGTATGTCAAAACTAGGTTGCCCTTCTGATTTATGGAATACTTCATAGGTAACAGTGCAACAAGAAACGGTGACGTGTGTTGCAGTCCACTCAGCAAATCGCGTACTCGCGTCAACCGTCTACATAGAAGTGGTGGGTTAAATCGGTTACATAGCAGCGTCATTGGTCAAACACTGGCGTTCAAAGGTTATTTGATTCTGTCCAGCCTGCTCTGCGGCCGCGGTCACTAACGTCTTCATGTCGAGGCGACACTAGCGACGAACACCATCTACTTACATGGAGTGGGTGTCACGAGCAATTTCGTTGCGGATTCACAAAACTTAAGTTCTGGGGCAATGCCTAGTCCTTGCTTGTGGTTTATGAATCACACCCCAGTACGGGTGAACAGTCTTTGCGCCCCTGTGCTAGACTCAATTAGTGATCCCATCTAGCATGCGATGTTTTGTACGAGGCTGATTCGCATCTTCGACAGGAATGCTATGCATGTTGAACAAGTGTGCGCCGACTCCGTTGATGGATCTTGACTACCATTTAACTGCCTCCGGTCTTATTCCTGTGGGTTTACACTGGAGGTGGTGTGTATGGATGGAGCTATGGGTAGCTGATGCATTCATGATGCTTCTTCACCGCAGTTGGGCTAAACCAACCAACACTTAAACTAGGTCTTTTTAAGGTGGATAAAATTCACTACATTTTATTTGGTTTGTTCTGTGTACCTGATAATCTTCTCCTAACTTGCACACGTCATTCATGCAAATTATGGTAAACTTGGGTAATATTATCGTGTGGTATCTCTTAAATAACTTTCGGACATCTTGTACTTATCGCGTATTCACATTTAACCAATTTCTTCCATATGCTCATTTAGCGAGTAATTATGTCCTCATATGCGTTTGCTTTATACGACATCAACATTTAGAATGACTGGCTGTTGTCTGACATGCCAGGTGTGACTGCGCTTGATGTGCATGTTGACAAGGTGTCTACCTGTCTATTACCCACTACCTCGTCCATACTGCTTCCAGGAGACAGTTGGTCGTTGCTGGAGGGGACGGGATGCACGTTCCTTGTGGTCGTGCTAGGCTCGAAGAGTGGTTCCATGCACTCAGTGTGGAGCGCACTACGGTCCAGCCACCGCGCTGTGTGCGCTTGATTCCCAAATACAGCGTGCTTGTGTTTGCCTGTGAAGGAGTGTAGACCGGCTCAGTTGATGAAACGTGGCTCCCATCCACATGCTTCCCGGTCTTATTCCTTCGAGTTTACACTGGATATGGGGTGTGTGGATGGAGCTGTGAGTGGTGCAGCGCAAACCATTCATGGTCCTTCCGTAAGCGCGGGTGTCCTGTGACTGCCCACAGTGACAGGCAAATCCGAAACCGGATGACAACAACCATGGGTAGCGGGAAAGCCTATGGTTCGCTGAGGCTGGTGTTGGCTAGATCCTGACAGATGGTCTACCCACTGCTGCTACTGTTGTGCCATTGGCTCATGTCCTGGGCGCCTACTCGTGGCGACCGCTGGGTAAGAGCTGGGTTACCCCCTTCTCCCTGCTATGATCCATGACGACAATCCGCATGAGTCAGTGAACTGATCATGTGCTAGACCCGCTGCCTTTCGAGTGTTCATTTAATCGAAGACTTG